ATATTACATTAAAAGAAAATCATTACCAAATTTGGTCGTGAGATTCAAAATATTGTAACACGAAAATTATTGTTGCATAACTTTCAAATTTAAAAAACCTATAAAAAGAAAATTTGAGACAAATTTTTTTTTATATATTAATAGACTCCCCTTTTAAAGCTGAATTGAATGGTGGTAAGTTTTTTAAAAACCTAATGTGTGGATCACATAATATTTCAAAAATTTTAACTTTTGAGTATAGATGATCCGCACTGTATTCATAATTCTTTGCGAAGAATTGAATGATGTGTAACAAACAATCCACCACAATAGTATTCATTCATATTATTTGGATCAAGAATTTTCATTACACGATAAAAGTTGATAGTAGAAAATCAAAATCAATAACTGCAAAGAAATCTATATTTTTATAATATTTTTTAAAGTGACCATCATGTTGTGATTATATTTTATGGAAAATCACTCTTTTCATGTAAAATTCTGGGTGTTTTCCGTACAGTAAAACAGAAAAGATATAGCTTTTCTTTATTTTTCATAGGGAATAGTTTTATATTATAAATTTTTTTTATAAATAGCTATTATTGCAATATAAAACTATAAAACCACGGTCTAAGCTCTAGTTAAACCGTGGGTTTACTAGCAAAACTGGTATTTCATAAACTGAAACGAACCGTTTCCACCCTCTCGTAATAATTGCGTAAAAATGGGATGCTGGAAGGAACAAGGTACAAGGTCTGCAAAATTTTCCTGTCCTGTCTTTTTCATGTGGCTCCGTGAAGTTTAGTTCAAAAAAATTTCACAATGGTGCCTTCAAGATACTAGTACTATTATTAAAGTTTCCGTTCAAAAAAAAAATTGATATTTTAATTTGAATATCCAATAACCAGAATATTCATTAATATTTTCAAATTATAGTGATCATTAATCCAATTGACATAATAATAATGAGATTATAAATTAATATTCCGATTGAGTTCACAAACATGACTAGGGTAATTTCTGATTTCTGATTTCTTTAATACATTTCTTATTCTTTTTCATGGAACCGTTGAAACAAACAATTAAAATCTTTCGATTATACATTTGCTTTTCTAAACACTGCATATTGTGCATAATTTTCTTCTGGAGAATCAGTTTCGGTGCATGAATCAAACGAGTCAGAGCTAGAATTACTTTTTTAATATCTACCTGATAGTGGCAGTGATCCTTCTACGCAAATTAATCGAGAGAGTTTGTTATTTTTGACTGAATTGTTTAAAAATGTCATTTGTCAAAGCTCAAAACATATTAATTGACAAAATTTGCGACCAAAACGAAATAATAATAACGATATTACCTGATATCTTGTCAGAATTTGTAAAGTTATTAGATTTTTTAAAAACATTATTTATTACGTTGCTCTCGACAATTTCTATTAAATATGATTTTAATATTTAAAAATATATATTAATAAATAATTTTTTACGTTATACTCTCTTTTTTTTTACACCTCACTTAATTGTTACGATTTTTTAATCAGTTCTTTATGTAGTATAGAATGTAAGGAGATATTGATCTGAATGTTGTTAATTTGTCAAACATTTGATCGTTTAATTAATTTTTTTTACTTTAGAGTCAATTATTTTTTGTCTTTGATAATTCAAATCTCAACTTTTCTATATTTCATTCTATCATCATCTTATATAATCAATCTTCTATATCATTATAATACTCTATATAATTATCTTTAACTCAACCGTGTTAAATATAACATAATTTTCAAAATACCTATGGAATCATAACTACTGCAAACACATGAGAGCGAAAAAAAAAAAAAACAAACGACACTGTAGGCAAAAAGGCAAATAAAAACTAAATCAGTCAGTGATCTTTTATGATGTCCATCAACACAGGTTATTAATGTCTTAAATATGTGCCTATGTGTGTAAACAAGAAGGTGATTCAAGGTCAACATCCAAGAAGTGCAAATACCCAAGTTACTTTGTAAAAAGCAGATCATTATCAGTTGTGTTGACGCAACTGTAAAGATGCATTTAATTCTTTTCTTGCGGTTGAAAGAATGGCATCAATTGCAGTTGAAACATCACGACTTGCACAAGCACTAATTAGATATTGTGTTGAAAATAATGTGCCAGTTCCAAGGTTAGATTATGGTCATGGTTGTGCAAGAAATTTATTTATCGCAATCTGCTGCCGCAATCGGTAAATCTAGAAAGCCCTTCAAGACTACAACCAACACCACATACGTGATGCTATACATCAAGAAAACTAGTAACAAATATTCTACACAATTGTAGAGGGTGAACGCACAATATACATACAATTTGCACGTGAATTGTGCGTAGAATATATGTTACTGTTTTCCGGATACCAGTGAAAAGGATAATAATAAGTGGTTAGCTAAATTGTTGATATAAAAGAACCAAAAACTTAATGTCAAACTACTTTCTATCCTTCTTATTTCTGATAAGTCTAATTTTATCTTGAACATTTCATCAGGTCTTCCAACTTCATCTGCCTCAATACAAAATCATTTACATTATGTTCTTGGACATCTCCCAACGTTTCTTGTATTTCATGGTAATAGTTGCTGGCGCCACCTTCGTTTTAAAACATATAAACAAAAGGCTTACCGTGAAATTGTTACAAATGAATCACCAGGAACTGTATAGTATATGTAGATGATTTTTCTCATCCAGTAGCCGTGGAAATCCATCTGGACCTAAAAAAGAGCTCTTTGTACAATTGAAAAAAGCACGTTTGGCTAGGAAATATGACGAATTTAGGACATTCCATAATTTTGTTCTTGCTGTTATAGAGGATATTTGAAAACTTTTGACGTGTAAGAATACACGCACAGCTTTGTGGAATCGGAACATCGGCGCTTCACGTAACAAACATCTGTCGTGGCTTTATTTGTTACTATTTTAAATTCGAATAATGGTAATCATTTATAAGGGGAAATAATGACGGAAGAACTACGTGGAGATAAATGGTCTTTTGATCCCATTACCTCGGTATAAATTTGTAGTATCAGAAGCTGTGAACTTTTGTTTACAGTTCATATTAATATAATGTTGCTGCCGTCGTTAGGTAGCTGTAAATCGTTGTATTATATGTTTATTTTACACACACATCATATACATATCTTGTGATTAAATAAACTTTAAATTAGGTTTTTTATTATTATTAAAAATAATAATAAAATTATGTGAATTAAATTAAAAATTGTCTGTTTCAATTTATTAATAAAAAACAATAGAACTTTTTTTCTCCATTATAAAATACAGAATAATAATATAATTAATTAATTACCATAAAAAAAAGGCATTTATCATGACTTTGCCCTTTGAACAAAAGTCTGGATTATTTTATATAATTGTTTAGTTCAAAAAGGAAAAAATTAGTAGTTGTAATATATTTATATTTATATTTACATATATATTTGCCACAATTAATGAAATATCTATACCGTAAAATATTTTTTAAAAGCTTTTTGATCTAATTGTTGTAAAGCTTGCAAGAATTCATCAGCAAGATCTTGTCGCAACCAAATATTCCTTGTATATTCAAGAAATTCATTGCCTCTCAGTGTATACATAGTTTTAATCATGTTTGAGATTTCGCCTAAAACCTACATTTATTTATTATTTATTTATTTATAGAAAGAGAAAATAGTTACTATTTTTTTTTTTTGGCAAATCAAACTAATGAAAATAAAAACTTACCACTGATGATTGACCATCAGCAACATCGAATGATTGTTTCATCGGAAGTTCAAAACAAACACGCAATATGTGTTCATACATAAAACGTTCAAACCCAGGTAAAGGTTGAGATTCTAAAGTTCTAGAAAAGGCATCATTAGAAGAATTGTTGGTGGTTGTAACAGTGGCGGTGGTAGTGATATCTTGAGTTATTTGTGATGGATTAACACCCCATAAACTTATAGCCCTTGATAAAATATTAAATGAAATTTTAAGAGAACTAATTTCTGATGTATCACTAGCATAGTGGATTACACTTTGAAGTATATTTTCTAAATTGGGTTTATTCACTTTTTTTTTTTTTTGAAAATAATAAAAAATAAATATTAATATTTTTCCTAACTCCATAAATCAATTATATTTATTTATTTAAAAGATCAGAATAATACTTACATTCACTTATCAAAACTTGATCCATTCCGCCATTTAATAATCCTAAAATAAAATTTAAATAGGCTTTTCGAAGAACTACAAATAAAATAGTTTCATCAGTCCCGGATGGTGCTTGATTTAAAACAAGAAAAACTTTTCTGAACAATGGATTAATTAATTCATTTAAAATATCAAAAATAACTGGCTAAATAAAATAAAATAATTAAATTATATAAGTTGAAATAATAATGGTGATGATGATGATAATGATAGAAAAACAATACTTTGAATTTATGTGAGATTAATCCAATAAATGGTAGGAAATCTACAAGTTCTGAAATTCCACTTTCATTCAACAATCCGTCAATTAAAGGTGGAAGATATGGCAATATTTCTATACCAAGGACATTCACAAGCCTTGCAAAAGCATATCTTGCCTTTATTTTTCAAATATAAGTATTATATTATATATAGGTTTTAGGTTGTCAATAAAAAAATCAGAAATAATTATTAAGCAAAAACTTACAGAATCTCGAATAATTTCAAAATTACTAAGAGTTTTCAAAACAACTAAAATAGCTTCAGTTGTTTGTTTCATAAAATCAATCCAAGGGACCGTTTGTGCCACACCTTTTGACGCCTCAGGAAATCCTAAAATTCAACAAATAAATATTTTAATTTATCAATTTTATCGAAAAAAATAAATTGTAAAATATTATACACTAACCTTTTGCTATGCTGCCAATTGCCATCATTAAATGATGTATTTGGATAATTGTACGCACATCTTTTGAACCTGTTTCAAGGTTTTGCTGTAATTCAGCAAGTAAAGGACCAACGATAGCCTGTCAAAAAATAATATAAAAAGTAAGAAAAAATATTTATAAAATAAAAAATTGCAGAATTTTAAATAAATACCTTTAAATATTCCATTTGAGTTTCAATAGGAACAGAATCAATTGTAATGAGTATTCCAACGGTTTCAAATAAATATAATTGATTAGTAAATGTATTATCCATAGCCTCTTCTTTAGCTAATAAAATTTCGCCAGCTGCATCAGTTATAGCTGGGTCTAATTGAATTATTAATAAATCCTAATTTGTTATTAAAAAAATAAAAAAAAAATTAGTAAATATAATAAATATAAATATACATGTATTTAAAATTGTTTACCTGAATACTACTCAAAACTGTTTCCACATAATTACTCATTTTCGATTTGAGTGATTTAACAAATTTATAGAAAAGATACCAAGATCTGGAACGAATTTGTAAGTTAATACTATGTAAACCACGCGTATCAATAAATGCTTCTAAAACTATTGGAATATATTCGGGTTGAACTTCAAAGAATTGATAGTAACGAACAACAATTTCAAAAAAAATCAAAGCGGTTGATGGATGTGGATATGTAAAAACGTCTAAAATAGGAATTTATAAATAAAATAAATATATAAAATTTACACAAGTTTGAGATTGATAAAACATTAAAATTGACTTTTTTTACTTACTACACTGAAACATTTTAAGAATCATTTCACCTAAAGGAGACAAAGCAACAACTTCATTGTTTTGTTTTAACACAAATGACATTGATCCTTTAAGAGCCTCGCCATATAAAAGTAACACGTGTAAGCTCAACTCTAAGTCTCTCCAATCAAACTCGTTACCAATTTTTTGATAATTTTCAAAAGTATTAATTATGGCTGAATGAACAAATGTAGTAAATATTTGCTCATCTATATTATGAATTACATCAAAAAATTGTTTCAGGAACTGTAATAAATAAAAAGTCAGCGAAAATTTTTAAAGGATAAATATAATAATAAATTCGTAAATATTTAAAAATCGAATGAAAATTAATCATGTACTTTTCGCATTTCTAAAAATTCGGCTTCTTCCTCAGCTTCTTCATCCGTTCCATTCCAATCAGTTGATTCATCATATTTCATCTTTATAATAACGACTTTTAACAAAGAAGCTAGAAACTCTCTTTGTTCACCGGTAAGTTCACCTGCTATTTTTTTTTGTCTTTTTAACTTTAGAAAAATATTATTATTATGATTATTATTTATAAAAAAAGGACAAGATATAAATAATCATGAAAAGCTTACTAATGATTGAAATGCAGTTACAAAAGGAAAAACAGCAGATGAAGTATCATCATATTCATCTGCAAGAAACTTTAATAAAAATTCAAGTAAATATTCTATCTGATTATATGCAACATTTCTTGTTTCTTGATCTGCCTATATATAATAATAATAATAATAATAATAATAATAATTAGTAACTTTGATGTATTAATAAATATATATACATATTTAACTTACACCTTCCCATATTTTACACAATTCTACACCTAAAACATTGGTTAGCCTTGCAACATGTTCTACAAATACTATATCATCGGACTTTTTTTTAGATATAATTTAATAGTATATAAATTAATTATTTTTTGAAAATTCTTAATTGTCATTTGATTATCTTAATCGGTATATTATTACTTACATAATCTAAACTTCCCATAACATTTGTTATATTTAAAGCTTGAATTAACTTTAATTTCTCATTTGGCTTCATGCCTTTACTTACAATCTATATATTTAATGGATATATATTATAAATAAATATGAATTAATCAGTTTAACTTGTAATAAAGAGTAAAATATATTACATTCACTTAAAAAAATTGACGCAAATGTACCTCAGCCAAACACTCACAAGCAGAAATTTTTAATTTTGAATCACTTAATAATTGATATAAAAGTGAAATAAATGCATCATTTACAATCAAAGATATGTCGATCCAAGCTTAATTTTGAAGGAGAGAATGGAAATTAACATTGTTAATAAAAAATAAAATTTTTCAGGCACAAATTAAATTATATGAATATATATATAAATATAAATATTACCTATATATAAGCCAATAATCTTCAAACACATTTGTGCAATATCTTGATTTTGTAAACGATAATCATTCAAAATTTCATACCAAATTGTTGCTAATTTCTGAATATCACCTGCCCTCATATTGTCTTTCTGACAAATGATTAAATTATAAAATTGATTAACTATATAACATATATATAAATAGATATATTTACATTCAAGAGAACTTACTATTGTTGTATTTCTAATGGCTTCTTCTTTTCCTCTCGAAATAGCAATATTTGCAACTTTCTCATCAATTGACAATAAAATTCTTAAAAAAATATCAACAGTACGAGAATTTGTTTTCCTTTCACCATTAATATTAATATTATTTGATTGGATTAATAAAAGAAACTCATCAAAGAAATTTTGCCAATTTGATGGATATAATTGAACAAACAATAAAGTCAATGTAGTAGCAAATTTATTTTTTAGATCTAATTATAAAAAAAAATAAATGAATTAAAAAAATATTCCATGAAAATTATAAATATATAAATACAATTATATAATTACATTGTGGTTCATCATTTACATCGCCAACGACATATTCTCGTTGAAAAAATTCCATCAAAGTAGAACGTATTTGAATAATTTGAGAAGAATCTAGTGTTGTAAATCTGATCAAAATAATCAAGATAGAAATGTTATTAATAAATAAATAGAATGAATATACGCATATATAAATATTTAAATACGTAAGTATCAATATAAATATATAAATAGAATATTGAATTTTTTAAATTTTAATAACAATACCTGTTTTGTAAAACATCATCTAAAACTTGTAAAGCAAAAACACGAGCCTCCGGAGTACTGAAGATGAGAATAAAAAAGGCAGATGGACAGACAGAAAGACATAATCAACCAAAGTAAACAATCAATAGATAAAATGTATTTTTGAGCATGCAGATATATATATTAAAAGAAGAGGATGAAAGGTGACTATGATGTTAATAAAAAATAAGTTACAATAAAATTTCACTAAATCCTAATTCTATTAATACTCAAAGTAGATAAAACGGCTAAAATGAAAAACATAAATATTTGTGGAGAGGACAAGAAAAAAAGAAAACATTTGTGTGATCATTGTTAAAGTAAGGAAAGAAAAAAAGAATTATAAAAAAGTTCGACACAAAACCTTTTTGGAAAACGTACGAACAATGAAAGACACAATTTCCACCCATCTGGAGATGCCTTGATTTGTTCACAATAGTTCATTGCCTAAAATATAAATTTAAAATGATTTTTTTTTGAAAGCAATAATTGAAAGGGGATTATTAAATGACTTTCTTCAATTTTATTTATCTTATTATATATATAACTTTTTTTATAAATAAATATCAAAAAGTATTATTAAATTATTTTTTTTATTTTTTCCTCCTTTAAAGAAAATAAATAAGATTATTATTATGGAAACTCTTGATTTTTCAATCAATTTAGCAAACTAACAAATTAATTGATCTTTTGGACCTTAATAAAACTAAGCTGTTATGGTGATTTGTATAATGAATAATTAAAAAATCTTTTATTTTTCTTAAAAGCATTTAGCAAAAATATAATCAACTAACCCGAGTTTTCAGGCTTTGATCCATAGCTGGGCTTAATGCAAAGGAAACAGCTTGTTCTATTTGTTCTTCCATTATTATGTTTATGATGAATATTACTGTTACTATGTTTACTATTTTTATGATTAGTGAGGTGAATGAAGAATTTTATATTTCAAACTTTGTAAATGTGACTTTTTATTTTAATGAATAAATAAATAAAAATATATGTAATGTTTTCGTATACAAAAAACTTAATATACCACCATCAACACTATAATAGATATTATGGTAAATGTTTAGAAAAAATTTAAAAGAAATCTAAGGAATAAAATAATTTGATCTATTGTTATTATGTCAATCATGTGATTTATAAAGATAGATTGTACACACAAATAATATTTTTTTATATATAGAATAATAATAATACATGTATAACTGATAACAATTTGATAAAATGCCCAAAATTGTTAAAGAAAAATCTAAATCGCATTCATCACCTTATCGCAGGTAATAATAAAAATAATAACATGGTTGTTATTTTTATTTGATTATTATTTGTTTTACTTTTCCTCGCTAATAAAGACAAATTCTAAATATAAATAAATATTAGTGATTCAAAGTCGTTAACAATAGCAACAGCATCTATAGATTTAGAATCAACACCTATAAAAGCAGAAGTCTTGAAATCTTTTGAATCACCTTTAATAAAAGAAGAGGAAACAAACTTGGCATTGAATAATAAGATTGGAATTGAAACTGATGATAAATCTAATAATGCATTTAATGATCTACCAGTTTCTAGTGAAATATCATCTTACTATTACAAACCATTTATGTGGCAAATTGATTATTATTTATCCATGTCACCGAATATCAAGTCAGAAAATATCACTCAAAGTAAAAACGATAAAAAGAATGTTATTAATGTTGGTGTTGATAACAATTTTAATTTAAAATCTGAAATTTCAACAAAATCTTCAAGATTAAACTTCAACATAATTACTACAGAAACAGTAAGAGAGAAGGTGAAAGAAGAGGTAGTTATCATTAGAATGGAATAAAAGCCTAAATAGAAATATTTAATCAATATTAATATTAATAATAATAGCAATTAATAAATAATAATAATAATAATAGTTAGAAGTGTTATATATATATATTATATAAATTAAATTATAAAACTTTTATAACCTAGAAATTTGTTTTTAGTCAAAAAATAAGAACAAAGGATTTGTAGCTGCAAACCGCCTACTCCTCATGCAGCCATGATTTACCATAAAATAGGTAATAATAATAAAAAATGATCAATTACTTTATTACTTTCTTATTGAATTTTAGATTTTATTAGAAAAAAAGTTTTAAATAAATAAAGAAATATAAAAATGTCTTGAACGGCCAAAATAACTTAGTATCAGCATTAATGTTTATATAGGAATAGTTTAAGGTGTTCAGTATTTACAAAGAAAAGAATGAGAAGTAAGTTAACTTTCTTGAATTTCTTGTTTTTTTTTTTTCTTGATTTTAGATAATAGCCTTTTAAACATAATTATGTATGCAAAAATATTAAGAGAAGAACAGTTTATGTATAAAAAGAAAAAATAAATTGGAACTTGAAAAATGAATTATGTTACAACGTGAATATTGAAAGAATTCAACATTTAATAATGATACCTATTATTTATGTTTTTTAATAGTGTTAATTATTATCATCATCATTATTAAAATAAATTGTCGCATTTACTTCCAATTTCAAAGATCTTCCTGTTCCAATGAGTCATAACCTTTATTGATCAAGATGGTGCAAAGACCAGATATTTATTTTACAACCATCTCTTGGTGTTTAATATTCCCTTACAAAATAATATTAAACAAAGAGTGACTATTACCACGTCAGATTTTAAATTGCATAATGATCTTCAAGCCAATAAAATTTAATTTTGCAGAGTTCAGCCAATAAAATCAAATGTTATTGTTATGCCTAAGAGATTTTGCTAAAAAATGGCAAAGCCAAATGGCAATTTACAGGTGAACACTATAAATATGTATTTTCTGTCTGATGGCTTGTATGGCAGAGTACACCTGACAAAAAAGTCTTTTCCTTTTTATCATGAATACCTAGGATAAAATGATGTACTTTGACCTGACAATATTCAGATGAATGATCACTAATTGGATTTCTCCAACGGCAATCACAGTTCTCAATTTTTCAAACAAGATCAGAGAACATGGTGATTTTTAAAGGATATTTCTAAAGGTGTGAGAGGAAATGGTGCCAAAAATGCAGCACAAATTTTGGAGATTAGCAGGTCAGAAATAGTGATTTTTTCTTATTATTTACTAAGTCTGTTGATAGGCCAGGAAACTGATAGACTGACATGTTATTCTACTACAACACTAGTGAACTGAAGAGTGGGGCTTCTATTTGTAATACAAATTCTTATTCGAATTATTTGTAATACAGTTGACCTTTAATTCAAATTAATTATTCAAATAAAAATTTATTCAAATTAAAAAAATTCATTCAAATTAAAAAATTTATTCAAATTAAAAAGTTTTATTTGAATTAAAAGTTTATTTGAATTAAAAATTTAATTCATTTTATTCAAATTATTTGTTTTATTTGATCTATTCAATTATTGGAATTTTGGGTTTGTTCATTCATTTTATTAGATTATTTGGAATCGTGGTTGTTCAATTACTTAAATATTCAAACTATATATACAACAAGGTTTAATATTGATTTTATTATTATAAAAATTGAAATTAAAAATGAAACTAATAAGGAAAGACTGAAACAAGATTCATGTTTCTTTTAATAAATAGCAATCTTTTTAGTGAGCTTGAATTTAAACTGGTCCTTAATTATTTGTTTTATCATAATTAATTTTTTTGAATTATTTGCTTTATTCAAATTAATTTCCTTATTTGAATTAATTTCCTTATTTGAATAGTTTTTATTTGAATCAATTTTTTTATTTGAATCAATTTTCTTATTCAAATTAATTTTCTTATTTGAATAAACCTTATTCAAATAGAAGTCCCACTGAAGAGTCACACAGTGACAACCAAAAAGTTTAGTGGTAGTTTATTGGCAGACTATGCAATGTTGCTGTTGACAGGCCAAGAGATCATCAAAAATGATAGTGTTTCTTGGTAGACTGACATGTTATTGCATCCACACACTAGTGAACAGAATAAGTTATACAGTGTTTAACTGACAAGTCATGCTGCTGTTTGCCAATAGCACTTGCATTTATTGTAATTGTCACAAAGATACTAACAATTCTTTAATTTTTTCACAATTTTTTCACAATTTTATTAATTGACTTGTAAGAATATGAAAAGCTCTGTAGAGGTCACGGACTTCTGGGAAAATAATATAGTTTCACAATGCAGAAGGGAAATTTGGTCATTAGAATCTGTTGATGTAAGTTTCTTTTGCTGTTGCAAATGTCATTATTATTGATGTATTGTATCTCATTTAATTGTTTTTCTACCAGTGGGACTATTTATACAATCATGATTATGAACTAAACAATCATTTTAATCATCAATTTTGACTTGGAATACTTTAATGGATAATTTGTGGGTGCAATATGTCATGCATGCTTCTTGACTACAGAAAGTCATCTGTTGACAAGGCTTCCACACACAACATTGACCTTTATCTTTGCTGAAAAATTGTGAGTATTGCTCTTATTAAATTTCTTGGCTTTAAAATTTTCTATATTAGTGTGATTCACCAGTTTTCTTTTGTAGATCACTAAACCATATTTACTTGTTTGAAGAGGAAAATCCATTTTTGGTGTCCATAACAATTTGACCCATAACTATGGAGTTCACTGTTCAAAGAGCTTAGAGAAAATTTTACTGTAACACATTTATCAAATGATGAAGTCTTGAAGTGCAACCAGATTTCCAGGGTAGTTGTTTATATTATTTGGACTTATAGGTTTCCTTTGCTAATATCCTTGACTCTTGATACAACTAGACAACAAGAAAAAACATAAAGGAATCCAAATCATTGATCAAGGATTTGCAGTGCACAGTTACAGATGATGTTGATTTGAAGGTACTTGATGCGATGTAAGCCATGTTTTACTAGCTTATAATAACCTTGTTAGGCTTGTTTGGAAATTGAAAATCAATATTTAACATATTTTTATTCTCTGCTTAAATCAACTTTCTTTAAAAAGAAGCACAAATAATATAAATGAGGATACATTTTCATCACATCACTGCTCTCATCAATATTCATTAATACTGAATTTCTTGAATGCAAATTGTAATTATTCTCTATAATTTTTTCTTCCTCAAATGTTACAATAGTATTTTATTAAATAGATAATGCCAGGTCCAGTAATGCATTGAATGCTTCATCACATTGAAAACAAAAATTTGACCCTTGCCTTGAAGGAAGATGGCCAGACTTCTCTGCGCATGTCTGGATATAAACATAAAGCACATCTACTAATAGCAGAATTTAAACCACCAAGAAATAAAGATCAAAAGTTATGGAATGATCTAGTTAAATTAGGCAATGAAATGAAGGATGCAATTGATAAGGCTATAGATGACAGTGTAGATGGAAATGTGGCAGAGTGTGGCAGGGTTGGCAAATTGACTGGTCCATTGAGAACTGATGGGCTTTGGACTGATCCATTACCATTAATAAAATATTAAATATGGTTAAAGTGTTACACTAATGAACACAATGGACCATCAATAGGCCATAAATGGGCCACATATTTTCCAACCCTGGTGTGTGGTATTCTGGTGCGAGGCAAATATTTAATTATAGGTACATTTCTTTCCAATTTCAGGAATTCACTACTTTTATAATTAATTAGGTACTCAATGTGACCTTTTTTTTATGGATTTGAAATTTGATGCAATTTATAGAATGATTTGTTTAGGTCATTTTTATTTGCAAAGATATCAACATTTTCTTTTTGAAGCATCTAAACCTGGTGTGGTAAAAACTCAGGAAGTTGCTAATGAATTCAATTTATTGAAAACTAGGAAAGCAGATATTTTTGAAGAAATTAAGACTATTTATTTTAGTCTTAACACCCCCTTATCTGGATTACAAGTGGCAAGAACAACTTTATAACAATATCTGTCCATTGGTAAAGGATGAATTTAAAGATATTACTTGTCTGAAACCAACATAAAACTTTCATGAATGTATCAAAATAATATATTATGGTAGTAAAAGAAATTCCAGCACCTGAAAATAATCAAGAATTATACAATTAGTGGAGTTGATTAAGAATAAATGTCCAATAACAGATAAATATATAGATGGTATAATTGTTAATTTAATAATTACAAAATTGAGATCACAAAAAGAAAACTTAGAAGTAGTAAAGTATGAATTAACTAAGGGAAAAGAAAGAATTGAAAAAGATTATAAAAACCTTGAAAATAACATTGCTGAATTAGTTTCAAAATATTATGAGCCAACTGATGAAGAAATAAAAACAGATAAAGATAATTGAAAAGAAGAATTTATTACACAATTAAGAAATGAAGAGAGAAATAGCAAAATAATTAAAACTTTTGAAAATTGAAAGCAAAAAACTAAAGAGGCAAGA